TGAAGCAGGCCAGGCAGAGAGAGAGGGGGTGGGGGGGGGGAAAGGTGAAGTTTTATTGTTTCTTTCTCTTTCATTATGGACAGGCAAGAGGGAGATAGGGTAGTTTGGGGAGTTTTAATTCCTTTCCCTTGTTGGAGTAAGTTAAGCAGAGGGAGAGTTAGGGAAGAGTTTGACATACATCTTTTAGTGGGAGGTAAGGGTTTTTTTTCTTTATAGGATCAGATGTGGGAGATAAAAAGGGATTACATGGAGTAAGGTCAGAGAGGGGCGAGGAGAGCGGGCAAGGGAGGCCTCTGCCAGTGCCAGAGATTGATTGCCATCGTTCTAGGCAAATTGTTGTCATCAAAGACGGATTAACATCGTCCTGGGCAAGTTGTTGCCACCAGAGACTGGCTACCATTGTTTTAGGCAAGTTGCTGTCACCAGAGACTGACCGCCATCATTCTAGGCAAGTTGCCGTCACCAGAGGCTGATTAACATCATTCTGGGCAAGTTGTTGTCATTAGAGATTGACTACCATCTTCCCTGTAAGTTCTTATTGCCTGAGATCAACCACCATCATGCCACGTAAGTCACCGTTGAGAAAGAGTGACCCTCACCACCCCATGTGCGTGGCTGCCGATTGTGACTGAATACCACCGTGTTACGTGACCTGTTAGGCAGAGGCGCCAACGTGAGAGATGTCCTTGGGCTGTTGGCCACTTGGAGGGGAGGTCGGGAGGGCCCAGACTTAAGCGGTCCCTACGAGGGTGGTGCTACACTAATATACATAGGTAAGTTAGCAAGGCAAATGCAAAAAAGTTAAGAGTGCAAATATTTATCCCCCCCCACCTTCCAGGATACTGTCAGTAACCAAGACAAACATACAAAATAAAGAAAATAATCACTGTATCTTTTACCCTACTGAAAACAAACTATTTATGTAATAGTGGGACTGGGAACAAATTTAAACCTGAGCAGGATTGCAAACGTCAAGTCATACTTGTACTTCAAGTCATATAAGAATAAAGGAAATAATATGCGATATTCCCATTTCTGTGTTTGGAATACATCAAACTATTGTTATTTGTTTAAAGTATTTATAGGCTAGTTACATGGTGCTGCACAGTAAGAAATTTATTTATTTAAAATTTATTTATTAAGAACATTTATTGTATATGGGTACCCAGCTCACTCTAGGTGATTCTGGGGCAGCGTATAAGAATAAAACTGTAATACAAAAACTAATAACCTCCTAATAAAACTATATAAAATTAAACAACAATAGCATTGTACCCTCAAAAAAGATCAGTCTGGTTTTTAAAGTCCCCCAAGTATATTTCTAAGATGGTAGAATGTTAGAGTTCAGGCTGCCCAAAACTGAAGCCAAAGTCTGACTAGTCATTCAGATAGCTTGGCTCAATTTTTTTTCTGGCACCAATAAGTATTTGACTATTTTAGCTTTAGCAATAAATTAGTATTATACATAACATTGTGAAATCACAGCTGCCAGTTCCTCAGCTGGTGTTGGCCTTCCCAAGAACTTAGGATGTTGTAACGTATCATGTGGCATATGTGGATCCAAAGAGTGTGGCCTTTTGTAATTGACAGATAGAAATTTGGTCAGCGTGCAGTGCTGATAACCACTAGAACCACCACATCTAGTTTATGCCATAATCTTGTAGACTTTGATTTTCAGATATTGATCTTTTCCAGTTCTCTGCTATCCTCCGGTATTACCACATCAATTCCACACTATCTTCTTTGCAACCTCAATTTAATCTGATGTGTTATGAATCAAGTCTTTATTAGTTTGTATTTACAAATCCCACAGTAATTGAACCAGCTCATTTTTGACTACTTTTTCAACTCTTATGTTCCCACCAATTTTTTGTTACTGTTACGTAATAATTTTTTATAGATGTTCTAGTGAATGATTTTGGTGACTGTATTACATTTTGGTGATTGTACAATTCTGGGAGTTGAAGTCCATGAGTCGTAAAAGAGCCGAGGTTGCCTACCCCTGAGTTAGAGTGATCTTCTTTCATTCTCCTCCTCCTCCTCCCCCTCCTCCTCCTCTCCAGATGTTTACATTGGATTTGACTTTTTTAAAAAACCTATCAAGTCTTTCCCAAGACCTGGGTAAGCAGATGTTATTTGATGGTGTTAAAAATGTCATCATACCCAAAGCAGCTATTACTATTGGTACTGTATTTGCTTTCTTTTGCCACCGTTGTTCTATTTCTATTTGCAGGTCTTTGTATTTTGTAATTTTCTCTATTTCTTTTTCTTCTATTTCGCGGTCTTTGCAGTTCTGCCAAGTCCACTATCTACTTTTTTGTCTTTCTTATCAATATTTTTTTAAGTCTGGAATGTTATGTGGCAGGTGTGTGTTTGTTTGAATTCTAAAGTTCCAGAACAATGTAACTTCTTCATTTTCTCTTACTTTGGTTATTTTATGGTCCCACCAGTTTTCATTTGCAGGCAAACAGTATTTCTTGCAGATCTTGCAATGCACCATTGTTGCTACTTTGTCACGCTATTGTTTGTAGTTTGCCTGGGCGATATTCTTGCAACAACTAACTAGGTGGTACACTGTTTCTTCAGCTTCTTTGCAGATCATTTGCTATCTGTTGCTCTTACTAATCTTATTCTTCTTATTACACATCTATATTCTTGGGGCTTTTAGCCAAATATTTTTTATTTCTAGGATTAGGTAATGCTAAAGTGGTAATTAAACACAGAGTGTGGGACATAGAGTTACAGACTGACAAAAAAGGAACATCTAAGAAATATGAGTATTAACCATCAGCAATTTCCAAAACTCAGGTCTGGCAACTTATCTCCATTTGCTGATCATCCCAAATATTAATGAGCATTGTCCAGAACTCAATTTAATGCTCTACCATCAGCTGTTTTATAAGGCAAGTTTTGTAAAATAGTTTCCAAGATAAGATTGAAATAAATGAACACATCCATGGGCACTTCACTGTCAATTATACCCTCATTCTCAGCCAGTTAAATTCAGCTTCTATTTCTATTTTACATTTAATCCCTTTTAGTGACAGAGTCTAAGGGGACTTTTTTAGTTGCCAAACGTTGTCTCTTAGCAACAAAGATTATAACGCCATAGCACTGATTTGAACTAAGATACTTAAAATAAGAGCCAGGATGTCCACTTTAAAATTAACTATTATATTATCACTACTGCATATTTTATTTTTAACAACCAATATTTGGACTGTATTCTGGTCTGGGATTGTAAGAAAGTTTGATTTGCTTTGATTTGACAACAATGAAAGACCTAATAAAATAGTAGTTTCAGAATAAATGCAGATTAAAACTAAGAATCTATGGAAAAGTAACATTTTTCTGCCTGACATTAAAAGAAAATCGGTGTAGTTTTCAGATTGAGGAGGCATTCCAGAGCATGAGATCCACTACCGAAAAGAACTTATTTCATATTATAGCCCACATGGAAAGACCTTCAGAATAGCACAAACCACTATTACATTGGTTTTACTATTTAATGGATGTTGTAGTAGTAGTAGTAGTTTTTGACTTTGCAAGAAGAGAAGAAAGAACTAGCAAAAGATAAGAATAGTTGTAAAGATTGGTATTGGAGAGAACAGCCAAGGCCAAGGCAGTGTGCTTGATTGTGTGGGCAGGGACCTGTGGATGCATTCCAAAGGAAAAAACAGGCAAAGCCACATGAATTTTTCTATGATTTGACATTCGGGTGCTCTTCCTCATCGCAGGGTGCTCATTTTAATTTGAACCGCAAATTAATTTGGAGAACAAAAAGAAAAGTGCTTTAGTTGTCTTTTATACTACCTCCTGCTTTATTTTCCCTCCAACCGCTGCTTTGCATGATAATCTCCCTTGAATTATGATATTCTTTCCAATTACCAGAGGGGACTCCCATGAATTTTAAACTCCAAAGACTTGTGCTCTGTTCTAAAATCTGCTTTGTCATTGTTGAGAAGAGTGCCTCCCATATCATGTGTTGTGCTACGTTTCAAGATGCTTTAGTTAGTGAAAGATAAAAGCTAAACAATATCTTATAATGAGTTTTAGTTTTTCAAATGTACAGCACTGAACCTTTTATCTTTCATAATTAGTTCCCTAAATAATTCAAAACTATGAAATTGCTGATATTATTTTTGTCCAAATGGTACAAATAAAAAAAAATCCTAGATATGTTCAACCAATAAGGGAAGATAAAATAGTGCGTTATAGTTTTTGAGTTTGAAGATATTTGCAGGCAGCTTTTTTAAAATCAATTTCATGATTCATATAATGAAGTTTTTATATTGCAATTCCTGATCAATCCAGAGAACGATTGTTTAGCATTTTCTTTTACAATATGATTTGTTGGACACTGACTTAACAAATAGAATAATGTTAAATTCTGGCTCCAGGTAAAGTTGAAAAATTCAATTATGATTAAATGTTTTTTGACTTTAATGGTACATAAATCACATAGAAACGATAAGGGAAATGTGATTATCAAGAGAGATGAAATATTACTAAAAGCTTTTTATAATACTAGTTAAACGTTTTAAAATACATCTGTGTCACTGCAGGGTAAGTAACATCATATGGCATCATTATTCTATCCAATTACATTTGCCATGGATGTTTCAGTATGCTTGCTACTAAAATTAATACTATCTCAACAGCTGTGTGGATTCTAAATAAAAAAACCGGGTAGAGGTCTCACTCATTCTTCAAGCTAGTAATACCTGGTCAAACAGCATAGTATGAGACGGCTCCAACAGCACAAACGACTTTGTTGTGCCAGGTTCTGTGGGACTGTCTTTGGGCAATCTTGCCCAGGGAGATTGTTGCTGGAAGGAGCATGTGAGACTCAGGGAACAACAACTTGTGCAATTGAACACTTTAAAATAAAACTCAGTTTATAATCACTGTAAGTTTATATGTGTTATTATTCCAACTTCTTGTAATAATGGAGACCTTCCAGCTGAAATTAAAACATGTGAATAATAATTTGGTAAATAATGGAATCCCGTTATACACTGAATGTGGATCTCTGGAGGCAGTCTGAAAAACGATGTGTACATTCAAAAGTAAATAATATATGCTGCCTGTGAGAAAAACAGCATCTTTGATAGTGTGTTGTAGATTTTTCGGGGGCAAATTTGCTGTGCAGTTTGATGATGTCTCACTAGTATTTTAAAACTGTCCAGATGAGATGTATAAATGTCCCCCCCAAATTTTTTTTCCAAAGCTTGTCTTACAGTGTATTTTATTTATAGGTTCAACAAGTACAAACTGTGCAACAAGTGCAACACGTATATCCAGCCCAGGTGCAGTATGTGGAGGGAAGTGACACGGTCTACACAAATGGAGCTATGTGAGTAAAACATCTGGGTGTCTATGGAAGTAAAACATTTTCATCCCAATAACACACAGAATTGAACAGATTTATTTTTTTTGCAACCTTCAACGTTCTCTAGAAACCATTTTCTCTAAAATCAAAGCTTTTTATTTTCAAAAGTAAGAATGAAATAAGTCTTTACCAAAATAAGAATATTAATTTTAAAAAATTACATAATATATAATTTTCTGCATATCATAAAAATATACAGGTAGTCCTCAACTTACAATCACAATCGAGTCCAAAATTTATGTTGTTATGTAAGAAATTTGTTAAGTAAATTTTGCCCCATTTTATGACTTTTCTTGCCACATTTGTTAAGTGAATCACTGCAGTTCTTAAATTAGTAACATGGTTCTTAAGTGAATCTGGATTCCCCAGATTCTTGCAACATTTCCATATTTAAGTAGAATTGCTTCTGGAAAAGGGCACTAACAGCCTATGGTTCAATAGAAAGTTTATATGCAAAAGATCCCAGTTGCAGTTTTTAGCACAATTTCTGGTGACTAAACCTTACATAGTTCTTTTAAACTTCATTTCTAAATAAACCTGCCTAAATTATTACATCAAGAAAAGTTGTTGCTTTGAAAACCTGGAAAGATGCTGCCAATCACAGATGTCAGGGCTGGAGTGCAAGTAGTCTGATAATGCCCTTGATGTGAGGAAAAATGTTTTTGGGAAGCTTTTGGTGATTGACAGTTTTATAATGTAATGCATTCAATTAAATTTAAGTTATAATTTGAATTATAGGCATATATGGTATGATGAGATAAGCATAGTAAATGCTTTGGACATTGGTATCAGTAGACAAACATTTTCATGTTATGAAATGGCAAGTACTATGTGGAAAACTAGGATTTAAGTACACTATCTTATGCTACATGCAGCACTGCTTAGCACTGTGTCAATCTTCTTTATTGCACTTATATTTTTCTGCGTACACATTTATGTCAGGTTCATGTTATTAACATCTCTGCAATATATCATATGAAATTGAGGCAGAGAAGAAGGGTGTAGAATAGTGGGTGATTATCTGTGCCTTCCACTGTAATTGTCCTTAAAAAGGAGGAAGAAATTTATACTGCACTCTTAGCTGTTGCTGAGCTACATCTTCCACCAATCCCAATAATGTATGCTGAGATTGCATTTCAAAAATATCTGGAGAAGTTCCTTCCGAGATATTAAATCCCATCTGAAGTATAAATATTGCTAATTCTGGATGATTTTCTTAGCTGTATTATATCCTTATTCCTCTGAAATTATACAGAATACAGAAAAGATGATCAGTGTTTCCCCCATCATATGATTTCATTAATCAGCTTTCTTTCGTTAATAGCAGTCTTTGACTGCATTCTGTTATTTCTTCTGTTGACGGCTTTCTCTGCTATATTCTTAACCTTGGTACAAAAGAAACACAGTTATTTTTAAATGCATAACTAGAAAGTATGAATAGCATGGTATTCAGAACAGTGGCACCTTCTGTCAAGTATGCGTAGCGACTAAGGTGTTGGACTAAAGGAGATCCAAGTTCAGGAACATCCTTAGACATGGAAACTTACAGGCTGATTGTGGGTCAATAATTCTGTCTCAGCTGAACATACTTCACAGGGCTTCTGTTGTGAGGATGAAGAGAAATCCCTTTGTATGGTGATCTTTATGGCATCTTGACCATTGAGGTTTTTTAAAAAAAATCAGAATGGTTGATGTAGCCTCACGAACAAAGCTCAGGCCCTTTCATATGTGTTTCAACATTGCTTATATATAAGGGACAGAATTTTGTGCAGCCATTTCTGTAAATTTTGCCTTCTTTATAATAAGCCCCTTTCCAAATAAGAAACATAATGCTCAGATTCCATTTCCAGAACAGTCAGTTGGAAAAATCCATAACATCTCTATACCAGTTACTGGTTCTAATACTTTTAAAGAGTCACTCTTTTTTTTTTTTTAAATGTCAGTGTGAATGAGAGAGAGAAAGAAACAGAGTTTAATTTTATGAAAACTCTTGATTCAAAAGGAAAATGTGCCTCAGTATATCATTAGCGTTTTAAAATTTATTAAAATGTATTAATATTATAAGCCTGCATTATTTGCAAGCAGTATATGTAGAAGAATGTTTATATGTAATTGAAATCTATGTATTTTAAATGATAGTTTGGCAGAGTGAAATTTAAAATAAATATAGAATGAGCAGGTATTTAAATCAAGGATCTTTCCGTTCAAATCTATTAGCAATTAACCTATGTGGAATTAACGAGCATTTAGGTGGAGAATATTTGCAAAAAAAAAAAAAAAGAGGCTTTTCTTGCTAGAATGAAATTTATCTGTAAAATAGTTTTTAAGCTAAATAGCAACTTCCAGACAAAGATCAGTATGCTGCAGATAAATGAGTCCTTCTGAATGATCAGATGAAAGAAAATTCAGGGTCGCATTCAACTCAGGTACTTGCTGAGGCAAGATGAGATGGCAGGAATACTAATTTATAAAAGGCGACAGATCATTGTCGTGACATTTACATAGAACTTAAGAGAGTCAGCTGGGAATAAATCACTGTGTGGGTGTGTGCCATGTGCATACCACCCTTGAAACTTCAGAAAATATAGCAGATTTACCCTTGCAGTGCCATATTACTTAGCTAGGATAATTTCACCACCTGATTGTTCCAAAAGGTTTCTAATCTTGCACAAACAAAATATTAACAGCCTTTGGCTGTTCAGCTAAACATCAGTAAGAGCCATTGACTGTAAACAAGCCCAAACTCCAAGAATTTAGTTTCTACCTGCTCAGTCCTCAATGTTGTGCACTGATAAGGAAGATCTGAAAAGGACTTTGTACAGACTGCTACTAGCATTGAAGTGATGTCACTTAATGATACATTGGATGATTGTATTGTGTTCAGTATTAACAAATAATTTGTTAATTTCAGCCTATTAGGAACAAAAGCTAGCTTTTTCAGGTGCCTGGTAATATTTAATCACTTTTTCAATGTTTGAAGTGCAGGACTAGAACTGGGGAGACTGATGTTCAGTTCTACTCTCGGTGAAATTTCAGTGGAGGACCTCAAGTTAGTCATTCTTTTTTGAATCTACCTTTTGATTTTGTTCTTGTAATGGATGAAAGGGAGAACTCTTTGTAAGTTACCTTATGTCCTAGAGAAAAAGCAGGATACGAATCTGAACAAACAATAAATGAGATAAGATTTCAAAGTTCGACTGTACCTTAGTAAATGCTATAAGATAATGCATAATTTGGTTACAGCTTAAATGAAAATGTTGATGCCCTCCAGTAAAGAGAACACATAAGTAACCTTTTCTTTCATTTCTTTTACTTAAGACGAACAACAACGTATCCTTACACAGAAACTCAGATGTACAGCCAAAACACTGGGGGGAATTACTTTGATACCCAAGGAAGTTCTGCGCAGGTGACCACAGTAGTCTCTTCTCATAGTATGGTGGGCACTGGAGGCCTTCAGATGGGTGTCACAGGAGGACAGCTCATCAGCAGCACTGGGGGTACCTACCTGATTGGCAATTCAATGGAAAACTCTGGCCATTCTGTTACTCACACAACACGAGCATCCCCTGCTACAGTAAGTCATTCAGATCGTTATGTCTGTTTATAGCTAGAGTTCTGTCCATTTTGTTTTTAATTGTGTTTGTTCTCAGCTGCAGAAGTAGGTTTGCTTAAGGAGGTGCCATCCAATTGTACAACTGCAACAAAATAGAGTTGAGTGAAATTTACACCAAATAATTTATCAACAATGCACAGAAGAAATAATATGAATTTTTACTATTATTCAGGTATATTAGAATATCCTGTTGCCCAGAAGTTTGTTTCTTTGTTTTTAAATACAGGTAATCCCCCAGGTACGGGCATTTATTTAGTGAGTTTTCACAAAAACAAATTAATTCAGAAAGGGTACTTATATTAGAAATTCAATTGAGACCAAAAAGAGGCCTCTGTAGCCATGTGACTTGGTTTCAGTCGCTACTGCAGCGGTGGCCATTTTTATCTCTGACTTGCCTGGGCCATTTGTGTGTATGAGAAGCTGGAAGGGCTTTTTTTGGGGGGGAGTTTCCCTGATCACATAGCTAAACAAGAACTGAGTCGGCACCAGTTTTTGCTTTTGCTGCAATCTGCTACTGCCTGCTACTTCTGTAAGTATTTTTTTTAAAAAAAATTTGTTACTCTATACTAGTGCTTGCAAACTTTGCAAAGTACTGTACTTTGTAAGCTGTGTTTGCAAACTATTGAGCTTGGAGATTAGCAAATATTACCGTAGTTTGTAGGTTTTAAATTTAAATTGCCTCCTCAAGGTACATTCTATCTCTGTTACTATTGCAAGCCGAGAGTTCTGCAAATTCCTCCCCCATCTCTGTCTATGTGCCTGGCTGGAGACTCTTAAGCTAATTAGTGGCAAGTTTTTGTTTTGTTTTTTAAAGCAACCCCTCCCCCAGCTAGCTGAAGACACTTGAGCTGGCTAGTACTGTAGCAATTTTATTTTTTTTTGAAGTAAGAGCAATGGCTCCAAGCCCTGCTTTGAGGCAAGTTAGTTCCTGAGCCAGCTCACCGGAAACAGCTGATTGGTGGCCAGTGGGAAACTCTCTCAGTTCAGTTAACATGGCAGTTATTGGAGGAAATAGTCAGATCTTCGTTCATTTAACAACCCATTTGATTTAATTAATGAATTTGATTTTAAAAATTTGTAAAATTGAGTCTGATTCATTCAACAAGTTTTTTTACTTACGAACCTAATGGCCAGGCTCTACCTGTAAAGTTTGTTTCCCCTTAAATTATACATTTCCCCACTATGTAAGTTGGTCTGAAAAAAAATCTGGTGAGTAGAATTTTAATATAAGAACTCTGACTTCTTTTATGTCTGAATAGCAAAGTTTTCCAAATGTATCAGAGAAATGACCAACTTTAGCTTTTTGTTGTTGTTGTTAATTTCATGTTCTTTATAATAGCATGAAGAATGAAAAAACAACTCCTGTCATCATAATTAAAGCAAATAGGCAGTGGAGAAAGAGAGGGTTAAACTACCACAAATGGTGTATTAGAGCACAAGAATAGAATCTGTAATTGAAAGAGAAAATTATAGAATTCCCAATATATTTATACAGTTTAATAACATTCAACATTACAAGAATTTTAGAATCCAGGCTTGCAAAAGGAGTTTTGAATATGGGGAAGTTCTGAATACATTTTAGATGGTAAACTATTTATATAAGATTGTGATTTCCAAATATTTGAAATTGGGCTAATCTTAAAAATAGAAATTGTTATTTAATAAATAATTACTTCAGTTTTTAAAATTGTTTTATTGCTACATAACAGTGGCTTGATATGCATTTCATGCTAAACCATAGTATGGCATAATAGCAAAGATGAGTTATAGTTAATCTTGAAGAGAATTATTGAAACTTCTGGTTTAGATTAAGTACATAATGATATGTTGCCTGCACTATATAAATTACTGTTAATTTAATGATAGTTTGTATAAAATTACAATTTCAAATCCTGAATTGTTAAAATAGTTTATTTAAACAAACAATTATTAATATTAGTTGCATTTCTTCATTTTAGTAGGTATGCAGAAGAAGCATTACAAATTTTGTGTTATTTAGTATATTTAAATGAATCCAATGTGTATAAATTTTCCTTCTATTCTTCAACAATATGAGCTACAAAACCTTCAATTTAAAAAGTACACTTGGTATTCTTTTTAATTTATCGATCTCTAGAATATACTTATCAAATGGAGATGCTTTACATGGCACCCTATCTAATTGTTCCATGTACCATCTGTTTGGTAAATGAAAAAAGATAATTAAAAAATTGCAAAGCTTGAACAAGATAGAAATGTTCAAGCTGCTTGTGTGTTTTTAATATTATGACTAATAGATATTAAAATAGCAAACGATTAAACAGTAGCTGGTAAATTCAAAATTCAGATTTATTTCTATATTGTAAATTAGTCATTATTTTGAACTGCATGTTAGCTCTGCTTTTATTTGTTATAATTTTTTCATCAACAATAACTTTTTTTCTTTCATGAAATATGATGAGTCATGTTATAAAATGCAATAAAGGGAACTGTTTCAAGGCTTTAGTGCATTGCAACCTGATAACGGAAGCTTACTCATGATGGGTTTTATATGGCATGACAAACAGAAAAGAAATCAGCCAAGTTCTTTTTTTAATCCCCATTTCATCAATTACTTGATGACACCAATGTGGAGTGGGTGATAGTACTTTCCTAATTTTCCTTTAAAAAAGAAATCCAAACATCAGATGTTTACAAGTCTATATAACAAAGCATAACAAGTGAAATGTGGAAATTAGATTTTGAAATGTTGAACTTCGTTGCTACCGTGCTATTGGGAATCCAGTGGGAATTCTTTTTTTCCGAGGAAAACAAACAATGGATTATATTTTCTGAGATTTTTAGCATGGTTATTTGGAGGGGTAATTCAGAGATGCTATCCTGATTAAACAAAACTGGTTCAATGCAAGTAGACAATTGAAGATTGTAAGCAAAGTCCTCATTTTCAAAAATTTTATTAGTTTACAGAAAAAGCTTCACTTTTTTGAATACCTGGAGTAATTATTATGATCCCAAATCTGAAATGGGAGACTAGACAATATCACAATTATTCAGGGTTTCATTTTAACCATTAGTTTCCTTGAGCGTGGATTAAATCCTTGATCACAAACAGAAGGGTTAAATTGAGAATTTGCTATATCAGAAAGAACTATATTACTATCTGTTGCAAGTTCAGCATAAATGTTTACCAAGTGATGTTTTATTAAAAGCGTTTTTAATGTGTATATTGTGTTTTTGAAATACAGTCATGTGAAAAAGTAAGTACAAGTAAGTTTTTCTTTTTAACACAATGTGGACATATCAATTACCTTATCTTCATTCAAGCATATAAAGGTAAAGGGGATGTAATTGAACAAAACCCTTTTAAAAATTGACTTTGCAATTATTTATTTAAAAACATTAACAAATATGCCATTTTTTTCTGAGGAGCCATTTTATATTATCCCACGGCATTTCAATGGGATTTAGATTTGGGCTTTGAGTTGGCCATTCCAGAACCTTTCATTCCCCCCCCCCCAGTCATTCCATAATGAATTTACTGGAATGTTTAGGGTCATTGGCATATTGCAAGGTCCATTATTGATTGAGCTTCAGTCTTCTGGCAGATGGTCTCATGTTATCTTTAAGCACCCATTGAATGAGGAATTCGTAGTGGATTGTATAATGGTAAGCTGCCCAGGTCTGGGGCAGCAAAGTAGCCCCAAACCACAACTTGTCCTCCACTCTGCTTTACAATTGTTATCAGATTCTTCTGATGTCTTTGGTTTTTGCCAAACATGTCTTTTGGTACAATGCCAAATAATTGCCTAATCTGTGCAGCACATATTGTTCCAGAAATCCTGTTTTTTTGTTTAGATATCCATGAACAAACTTCAGCACTGATGATGTTACCTAGTTTGGGTATAATGAAACATCTGCAAGTAAACAAGCAAGCTCAGAGAGCATCAAGGATCCCTCATTTCAATCCTGAGCTATAAATATTCTCCTTTATTGAAACTTCAGTCTTGTCCAGATGTGCTCCCTGGCATGCCCCTCCGGTGTAGAATTAATTTGTGTAGTTTTGTCCTAATTGTAGATTCATGCACTTTTGTATCAGTAATGGTGAGAGCTACCTTATAATCACTTGATGAAATTGTGGGGTCCATATCTGGAGATTTCTTTCAACAACTTATGTTTTGCTCTCAGATTGAACTTGGTGGGATGCCATGGCTTAGGCAAATTGACAGTTTAAAAATATTTTTTGGGATAGTGGGATGATTGATGTCTATTTGGTGGGCAATCCTTTAAAAATCTTTTCCCAGCCTCTATAACCGTGGTGGCGAACCTATGGCACGCGTGCCACAGGTGGCACGCAGAAACCTCTCTGGGTACGTGCACCATCGCCCCAGTCCTAGGCCTTCAGCTGGGTTTTATAAAACCTTTTCGCTTTAAGCCTCCACCGCTGTGTGCAAAAAAAAAAAAAAAAGAGGTTCAATCAGTCAATCAATTTCAACTTCTCACTGGGAAAAAAAAGATCTCGCAAAGTTGGAATTGATTGACTGAACTTTTTAGTCCCATCCAGTCTGCCGTTACCACTGCAGCCACACCCACCCAATGGGCCACGCCCACCCGGCACCCGATGATACATAAGTGGGTTTTGGGTTGCAGTTTGGGCACTCAGTCTCTAAAAGGTTCGCCATCACTGCTCTATAAACTTCTTTCTGAAGGCCTCAAAGAGCTCTTTCAATCTAGGCTACGGTGATAGCACACAATTCAGCAAATCTAACTAAACATCTGAGGCTTAAATAAAACACGTTCCTCCCAGATTCTATCTAACAATATTCCACACGGAACCTGATTTCATGTATCTGATTCTAACTTGAAGCATTTGAAGTAGTGATGAATGTAGGGGTGATCTTACTTTTTCTACATACAACATTTGCATTTATATTTGTTTAAATTACACAATGGACTAAAACATGTAAATGGTACATGATATTATA